TCGTTTCAGAATGAAAAAAAGCAACGATCAAATTACCAAGTTGAGTCTGTCTCATTGAGGCAACATACTTTGAGCGATCAAATGCATTTCGAGGATTGGAGCGAACCAATGAATCTTCAAAAAAGCAATAAGGTTTAAACTTGATTTTGTTCAAGATCTTCAATTTTCTCATTGATTTCAAGAACGGTAATGCACTTACTAGTATTACTGATTTGGAAAAGACCAAGAAAAAAAGGACGCATTAGCAAACTGGTGATATAAGAGAAATTGAAAGAGAGAGTCTGCATACAAATAATATAAAGGGAAGATTGACTAAAATGACTTTACAAAGTGGTCAGTTTGCTCATGTAACCTAGCCTCCTTACATTTTTGCTACACTAACCTTACCTGCATGGAAAAGACAGCAAGGTCCCTTACCTCAAAAAAACTGTTTTTGTTGAATTTTTTAAAATTTCGTAAATACATAATTATACACAGATATACAATATATACATAAATATATATATACACAATTATACAAAAAAATACAAAACATTCGAAAATATAAGGGAATTTAATTGATAGAGGGAAAATAAAGGGTCATTTTAGTTTATTTCCCTCCCCCGAGTAAACCCTAGTGGCGATTTCGATTCTCTCCCCCTCCTCCTTCTTCGACGACGACGACGACGAAGATTCTTCAGATCCACGGTGTTTTAGTTTGTCTGCATTCCTCCGGTGTTCTTACCGGTGTTTCGTCATCTCCGGTAAGTCGTTCTTTTCCTTTTCATTTGTATTTTGTTATTTCCTTTTGCGGTCTTCGCATCTGTCACTGTTCTCCGTCTTTGCGGCTTTTGGCGAGAGCATACAGGCGAGAACGGACCAACGGCGGTGAGGAAATCTGTAACCCTAATTGTTTTTGGTGTTGCAAGAAACAGTTTTTCCGCGGTGGTTCCAACGGCGGATTGTCGAAGGATTGCAGGTGAGTTTTCATAAACTTAGGTGATATATCTTAAGTGATGGGGTTTGGTAGACTAGTTTTGAAGTATCTGGTATATATTATATTTGATAGACTTGTATCGTTGAATATGATAGACTTATTGTTGTATATGATAGACTTGTATTGTATCACGTATGGGAGTTTTTCTGATTTTCTGAGGTTCGTTGATATAAATGAATGATAGAGTTGTTTCATGTTTCGTGTTTGTTAAAACCCAATGGTAGAGTTGTTTCGTGTTTGTTAAAACCGAATGGTAGAGTTGTTTCATATTGGTCTTAAGATGACTTGTTTACTTTAAGTATGTGATAGACTTTTTTGTGGTGTATATGGTATGTATGATAGATATGTTGATGTATATGATATAAATGAATGGTAGAGTTGTTTCATGTTTCGTGTTTGTTAAAACCCAATGGTAGAGTTGTTTCGTGTTTGTCAAAACCTAATGGTAGAGTTGTTTCGTGTTTTTTAAAACCGAATGGTAGAGTTGTTTCATATTGGTCTTAAGATGACTTGTTTACTTTAAGTATGTGATAGACTTTTTTGTGGTGTATATGGTATGTATGATAGATATGTTGATGTATATGATAGACTTATTTGATATTGTATGATAGACTTAATTTAAAAAAATTTATTTTTTGCAGATGGCTTCTTCCAGCGATTCGAATGAATATCCCCCAAGAATGTTTCAGCCAGGAAAGTCACCTTTGCAGGAGCATAGCTTCAATTATGGCGCCCACCTGACTGAATTCGCGAAGTTAAAGGACGCTATTGGTGATGAAGTGTACAATGATCTCATGAACACTTGTGCTATAGGAGCTATTTTCAAGCTTGCAGCGAAGTATTACGTTTGGAGTGCGAACATGGTGCATCAGTTCATATCCAACCAATTGTGTGTGGACAGGAAGAATGAGGTTTGGTCATTGATTGGTGGTAGACCAGTGAGATTTTCGTTGCACGAGTTTGGTGAAATTACAGGATTCAACTGTGATCCAATTGTGGAAGATGGTGGGACATCGATCACACTGAGTTTGGGGCTGAGTTGGGCGGTCCTAATTGGG